CCCATGCAGGCGAGCACCATTTGCCCCTTGGCGACGCAAGGTTAGGTGTGTCGTTCAAAGGCGCCCTCTTTGGGTTGGTTGAAATGGAACCTAACGGAAGCCAAAGCATTTTGGGAGGTCCGGAATTTTGAGACACACCCACCTGGGGTGTGTCGGTGTGTCTCTCAGGTGGTTCAACATCATGGACCCGTAGATCTGTCCCGATGTCTTGCTGCAATCTGTTTGGGGAGTTGGGGGGCACCCATTTTTTAGCCACAACCATGTTGAGAGTACCCGATTTTGGCTTGGTTGAAGGGGCAACCAAAGGAGAGCCATCCGTAAAATTGGGCACCCCTACTTGAAGCCACCCAGAACTGTTCGCAGTTGGTTCTGTGCTGCCACTGTTTCTTCTCATGCGGTACGGGTATGCCACTAAAACCATTGCCATAGATTGGCCACTTGGGGCACTGAAGCGGTGATGGAAGCAGTTCGACCACTCTGATTACTCCGCCACGCATGAACTTATGCACTTGCAAGACTGTTGGTGGAAGGGCAAGTGAAATGCGCACTGAAGGGTCAGGGTATGCTGGGCCAACGGCTCGGCTGACCCCAGGAAGATTGATAAAGGAGCTGGGCTACATAGAGAAAGCACGTACAATTTGTTAGGATAAGTGAAGCGCAACCGATATAGCGTACATGTATATATATATACACATAGGTATGTACTTTCCTATAGGAGGGTGTGGGTGGCCTGAACAGCTTTTTGGCTTTGTGTTTTTTGTTTGTTTGTTTTATTATTTTTCTCACCGTGGATTTTTGCGGCTTTTGGTGGCTTCTGGCTGATGTTTGCCCAAAAATCAGGGGTCATGACCACGTTTTTCTAATGGTCATGGAGACTCTAGGTAGCGGTAACTGGTTGCTTTCGCGCTTCCTCCCTGCGCCCGCGGAATGAAACAACCTCGAGCGGAGACCTTTAAAAGGAATCCGCATGGTGTGGACCCAGACCCCCCTCGTTAGAATGAAAAGCCGGCTGAACAAAAACAAATCAGAGAGATCGATTCCCCATGAACAAAAAGGATACATATATATATAAAGATTCCTTTGGCCATGGGTCCCATGAAAATAAACCTTCGCGCTCTTTTTCAGGGAATGCGTTTTGTTTCTCCATTTTTGAGCCCCCAATTCCCCGATTCCCCAGCTTTTCGCTTCAGGTTTGATCCTCCTGAATGCCATTGTCATCGGCCTGGAGACGGACTACGCAGAGAGTTTCCACTGGGACATTGTGGAAAACATTTTTCTCCTCTTCTTTACCATGGAGCTGGCGCCTTGGCCACTGTAAATTGCAGATGCGTCTCGTCCCCATTTCTAGGTCCCCCAGTAGTGGCCTGTTACCCTTTTTTTGTGGGAGGGTTCCCCTACAAAAAAAGGTTACCCTTATTCTAACCTCTCTACTCGAAAACCTAGATTTTGACCCCTGAAGTAATGTCAACCTTGGATGAATATGCGGGGGACCTTACAAATCAGAGGAACCACCTAAACTCGATGATTGCTTGCTTACAGGGAACCACTCCTAGGCTCCCTGATACAGTAGTAGAATTCCGGATGAATCCGAAGCTGACATTAGGTACCAAGGGACCCTCAGGACTTCCTTGTTAAATCAATCCCCAAATAAAAGCAGGGCGCCTTTTCGCCGATGGCTACTCAGGTACAGTCACCCAGTAGCAACCAGTCTCCACATGCTCAAAGATGTAAGCAGCCGTGACTTGCACTGGGAGGCCCCCCCCTCCCCCCCCCAAAAAAAAGAAGAAAAGGAAAATAAAGAGGAGACGACGCTGAAGCACACATCGTATCAACTACCTTAGTTGACATGTTACATCTCAATGCCACATGATGTACACCACTAGATGCCCCCCCCCCCCCCGGTGACCCGGTCACCGGGGACCCATATCCATGAATCTGACTCCGAGGCGATCAGGATGTATTGCTTGGGAGTCAGGACTCGGCCAGATTGCATCTGCGAATCGGGGGATGGACACGTGTTACATGTTTCCAGCTGATGTCAAGCTGTTCCATAGGACAAGGCCACACTAAGTCGGGTCTCCCGGATTCCCCTTCTTTGCCCCCCCATGTCCCTTTGTTGACTTCCAATTGCTTATTTGTTTTTTGCGCGTTTGTATCCCTTGATGGTTTTACAGGGGATCTATCACGACTACTGGAAGTTGTTTCTCATATTTGTTTCCAGCGCGCCAAGAAGCAAATGCAAGCATTATTTTTTTCAACCGAGGCAAAGCGCAGGTGGGTGGATATGACTTGTTTGCCTAACCAAGCACGACGTTGATGTGTGTTGTTTTCTTTGGGGGGGCTGTTTGTGAATCGCAATTTTCCTTTCAATTACCCTGTGGAACCACCGTTCTCGGTGTTTTTATTATTTATTATTGTTGTTTTTTTGCGCATTCCCTCTCCAGAGGCAAGACTGGACTGTTGGATTGTTCTTAGGTACCAGCCCTTGTTTTGAACTGCTGGTTCTTGTAGAGGGTCAATGCGAGACTGTCCTTCACCAAACCACTAATCCAAACCACCAATTCAGTAGCTGTGCGACCCATTTTTGCTTTGTTCGCTTCACGCATTGGAAGCAAAGGTCGCTTTTTTGCAGCTGGCAGTCTTGCACTGCATATGTTTCACATGTCTCAAAGCTGACCCTTTACCCCCTTATCCAGCAACATAGGACCCAAAATGAGCGGTCCTCACTACAACTGCGTTCCATGGGCAGCAAGTGCTGGGCATCATCGGGTGGCTTTAGATGTGCCACGCGGCCCCATGTGTTTCCGAACCTGCGAGCACCCAGAAGGTGTGACTGATCCCAACTTTGAGGGTGCTTTGGCGCATTTTGCCAAGGGATGTTAGAACTTTAACTTATTGTTGCCAACTAGTGGCGCTAGTCCGTATTAAACCACTAAACCATGGCCATGTCCCAAAAAAAAGCTAACGCCGTTGTTTTTTTAGGGCCCTTCTAGCAAGACCGTGCCCGGAAATTCCTCTTGAGAGATGGCCAAGGGCTAAGACTAAGATTTGCTAATCCAGGTGGAGTATCAACCCCCGCTCGCCGCCGCTCGCCCCCCCCACATGTGCCAAGAGCAGGTCGCCGAAAGGCACGCGGTTCCCTTTTCTTGAGTAGCACTATTCACTGTTCTTGGCATGTTTTTTTTTTTTAGTTTTTTGGTTCTGTTCATTTTTACTGGGGGTCTGCAAAAAACAGAGTTTTTCGCTACCATACCAAGAGTAAAGATGATTAGCTTCCGTTTGAAGTGGGAAACAGTTAGTCACTTTTAGCAGGGGGGCAGAAAGCAACCAAGGGTATTTACTAAGCACACAAGGTGCACAACGGGATCCTGCAGATTCACTTGCAACCTGAAAAAGCCATGGGTTTGTGGAGGATTTTCCGTAGGATATCATAGTTTGCACATGCCACGAATAGCGTGCAGCAGGCGCTCAACTCCATTTCAGCTCCCCGTTTTCCGCTGGGAGATATTGACATTGTGCGTCCTTTCGCTCCTACGCGGACACTCCTGAATCCCCTTTGTGGCCTGCTTTGTGCGGGTTATAGCGCACTGGGGGGGGGGGGGCTTGCAACCATGGCTAGCGGTTTTTCACCATACCAAGTGGTTAGGGGCACGCCAAGTAGAAGTACTTGGGCTCGAGGCTTGTCCTACGTGCATTTTGACTGGTCAATTGCTAAACATGGTCCTGGCGCCCCAAACAAGCGTGCCGTTTTGTTTTTCTAGCGGACAGGTCATTGATTGCGGCTGGAAGGACGTTTCCGTCGACCAATCTCAGGGGGGTTGTCACCAAAGGTTCCATCTGCATTGGGATGCAGCATGGGTTGCAACTATTGAGGAAGAAATCCAGCCCCTAAATTTGAGCAAGAAATGTTTCCTCTTGCCAACATCAACCAAAAGGGTCCCCTTTCTCCTGGGTCACCGAGAGGGTTTTCTTGTAGTGCAGGAGGTTTTTCCACGTGCACAACAACCCGGACATCGCGTCTTGGCTAAGACCAAAAAAGGGTTGGATCTTTAGTCGCCAGCCGTTTAAGTCTCCCTCAATTCCCCTTTGTTGGAGCTAAAGTTGCGATCGATTCATGAGAACCCACCAGCAAAGTGCAGCTTAAGGGGAGCTCCGGCAACCCCTGTTCCGCTCCTCCCGTTGTTGTCGGGGGCGGTTCGTTTTGGGTGCCTTTCCCACTCCCTGAGTTCCGGGACTCGGACTTTAGTCACTTTTTGGTATGCAAACGTTAAAAGTTCGGTGTTTTTTTCTAGCCCAGCCACTCGATCAGAAGTGAGGCGTGGGGTCCAACCTATTAACGCTGTCTTGTTGCTTGGCAGTGTTTTCGATTTTGAATTTGAGGTAGTTTCTAAAATGGGGTACCCCTAAAACAGAGACCCGCACAAAAAGAGGGCTGCCTTTCGCTGGGGTTTGGATTGGGGGTTTGGGGTTTGAACCCCGGGGTATTTTCTTAAAGGTAAGCGGGAAACCCCTCCGGAGCACCAGCAAACCACCCGGTCTCCAAACCACCAATGAGGAAGGGGATATTTACTGGGCTCCAACCCACCTATAAAAAAGAGGGAAGCTGAATTCTGAATAGGATTGGTGGTTTGTCCATTTGCCTTGTACAGGACACCAAGGGTTCAAATCCCAAACCAGAGATTGTGTTCGTTTAACCCCAAAAAAAAGAAAAACACAAAAACGGGCAAGCAAAATAGGGGTCCTGACTCAGATACCTCCCCCCCAAACAAAAAAAATGCCTCCCCCCCCAGCAAAAAGAAGCAAGCAACATGGGAAGCTGAATCCGGATTGAGGCCATAAATACCCCCCCCCCTGGGAAGCTGAGTCAGATAGGGAGCAGCGCAGCTTGAGGCCTGGAACATTTTCGACTTTTTGCTGGTCTCCATGGGTGTGCTGAGCTTGCTGCTCCACTGCCTCACCGCCGGGTCCAACGACTTCCTGGCGAGGACCCAAAAGGGCGG